CGCCTGGGCAACTTGGTGAGACCTCATCTCTACAATAAATCAAAAAATCAGCTAGGCGTGTTAGCGCGCGCCTGTGGTTCCAACTACTCGGAAGGCTGAGGCGGAAGGATCGCCGGAGCCCAGCAGGTTGAGGCTGCGGTGGCCGGGAGCGGTCACTGCACTCCAATCTGGGCGACGGAGTGAGACTCCAACTCAAAAAAACAAACAAACAACAAAAAAAAGACAGTCTAAGGAGCGGTTTCCATAGGGTCTTAAGTTAGGATTAGAAGAGGTCATTAGAGGTCACTTATCCCAGTGTTTCTTAAAGGCTTTTGACTGGGGCACAATAAGAACTACATTGTATCTCATGATCCAGCATGTGCAGGTCATGACATGGACACATACATACATACATGGTCACTGATACATACATACATATAAACATGTACACATAGAAAATACATAACTAACACAAGGTACAGGAACATTATTTCTCCCATTCTGTGGGATGTGTTCTGATTTTTTTCCACTTCATCTTATCTCATTTAATTAAAACAAAACACCATTAACAAGTCACAAATAGATTTCACAATCTACTTATGGGTTTCAGTATGTAGTCTGAAAAGCACTGACCTAGACCAATCTCTAATGTGATGCAAAATCTCCTCCCAAACCTCCCTGCTGGGTGGCCACCCGGCTTCGGCTTGAATGCCTTCAGTGACAGCAAACTCATTCCCTACAAGGCTGCATGCTCTAAGGTGGACCCAGCAGGTGCACATGCTGTTCATTCCACAGTTGCTCCAGGAGTGGCTTGGGTGGAGCTGGGGATCCCCAGAGGCCCGGGACCAGCCGACAGGTGCCCATCTGCCTCCAAGAGGGGTGGAAGCACGGCTCCCAGCTGGAGGCAGGGGCTCGGGGTGAGCCAGAGGCTAGTACGGCGTTGCTGGGAGGCTCCAGCCCCTCCGCAGAGCTGCCCATCAGACCTTTCCCCATCTGCTTTCTCACCGTTCCAGCACTGTGATAATTTCCTCATCTGACAGATGATCTCATTCCCCCAGCACCCGCCTGTGGGAGAGGGTTCCTCCCCCTAGAGGGGCCTCAGACTCTAGTTGAGACAGATTCTCCCACATCCCCTTCCAGCCTCCGTCACCCATCAGGACTCCAGCCGGCCACCTCTGGCCATCCCCACCTCGTATTCTCTCCATCTTGAGACACAGGATATCCCTGCCTGGGGGATTCAGACACGGTCTGCCTGAACACTTCTGACCTGCCCACCCCTCCCCCCTCACACACACCATCCCATCCTGGAGACCTGTCAGGACAATGCGACTCCACACCTGAAGGGAATCTTCCTGGGAGAAATAAAACAAAGACAGCACCACCACGTGGGAACAGAGCTGGCCGCTGGACATCCAAACCCTGGGTCCCGGGAGGAGAAAAGGACAATGCCTAGGGCGGTGAGTTAAGCAGGGAGGGGGCCTGGCTTGGACCCTGGTCAAGGACCAGGGTGTGGCAGTTCCGTGTTCCTGCGGGGTTTTCAGCTTTCGAGCCAGCTCATCCTGGCCAGGTAAGAGCAGGCTGACCTCAGGGTGGGGCGGGGCCAGGAAGAGGTGATGATCTCATTGCTTCCTGAGAACCAAGAGGATAAAAGTAACCCATGCAGAGACACAGGAGGGGGGAGAGACGGATGAAAAAAACCGGCACAGGAGACCAGAAAAGCTGTGTCTCGGAAAGAAAGGGTGAAACACAGGACAGGTGCTCACCTGAAAGCGGTCTTCAGGTCAGGGCCAGCTCCAGAGGAAGCCGGACTCTGTACAAACCCTTTCTCCCCCGGCAGGAAAACATTTTTATGCAGAAATAACTCACCATGGGCATGGGACGGCTCCCACCCATCCCGTCCCTCCAGAGCCCACCCTCGCTCCTCTGCCAAGCACCATTCTTTTGACCTCACCCTGTTTCCCCCGAGGGTTTGACAAAGTTTGATTGATTGAGTGAACCCAAAGGCAACACGAAAGCTGCAGGTCCCTGGCTTCTCCCCCCCGCGGCTGCTGTCTTGTTTTTGTTGTTGTTGTCGCTAACCTTTTGTCTAAAAAGCCTCAGGTTATTTGCATTTCATGTCTACTCACCTGTGGTCCAGTTCGAAGCGAGCTGCTCTCTCCTCACTCCCTCGATTAGTGGTACCCTGGGCTTCTCTCAACATCAGCACCACCGCTGCTCTCACCATGACATCACCTCCAAGCTCCGCGATTGGCCGGCGGCGGGTTGCTTGGCCATTGGACGGTCTCCTCCAGCGGAGCAGGGATTGCCTGCGTGAGTAACTCTTAGCAGGCCGGGGAGTGGAAGATGATGTCAGACAAAGAGCGGCTTTCTCGGCTGCCTGCGGGGATGGGGGACCAGAGGGTGAGGGTGCTGAGGACGAAAGAAAGAGGGAGTGGTGCGGGGAGAGGAGGGATTGCGAGCTGGAGGAGGGGAGGTCGGGCCGGTGAATGATTTCCAGAATCTTTAGGTTTTTCAGATCTGGGGGTGGGAGACTATGGAATCGAGAGAAGAAATAGAAAGAACAGATGAGCCCTAAATATAGCCTCCCCGAGAGCTGGGTGCCTGTTTCCAGCTCTGTCAGAAGGGCTGGTGGGTTTGAACGATGACTGAGAAGACGGACCGGGAAGGGCTGCAGAAACCCCGGACCCCAGAGCTGGGGGCAGGGCCCACACAGGGGTCTCGGGAGAGCGGGGCTTCCCTCTGGCCACCCTCGAAAAGCTGTCGACCACGTGTCTGCTGTGACTTTCGACCAGCCCTGGTGGCCCCTCAGAGACCCCACCCAGCCCCCCTGGGCCTTCCAGAGGGAGCCACGGGTAGGGAGATGGACTGGTCGTTATGCTGGCGATTCCTAAAGGTGGTGGAATCTTGAGGGGACAGGATGGGTCATCGGTTTTGGCTTCTTTACTTCCCTCGGGGAAGGAGGGAGCCCCTGACGCAGTCTTTACAGGATGCTCCTTCGCAGCCAGTCGGCTGGAGAGGGCAGGGGGAGACAGCTGAGGAGGAGACCCCCTCCTCCAGAACACCTCTCCAAGTTAAAGTCCCCCAAGATGTGTCCATGAATCCCCATCTTCACTGCCCAGCCTTGCCACACTCCTTTTACTCGGGCAATTGTTTTATTTGGGTAAAACCTGTATAACATAGCATTTTCCGTCTTAACTATTTTGGGGCCAGGCATGGTGACTCACGCCTGTAATCTCAGCACTTTGGGAGGCTGAGGCGAGAGGATTACTTGAGGCCAGGAGTTCAAGATCAGCCTAAGCAACATAGCGAGAACTGAGAACTCATTTCTACAAAAATAAAATAAATTAGCCAGGCCTGGTAGTATGCACTTATAGTCCTAGCTGCTTAGGAGGCTGAGGATGGAAGATTATTTGAGCCCAGGAGGTGGAGGCTGAAGTTAGCTATGATCGCTCCACTGCATTTCAGTCTGGGCAATGGAGTAAGACTTCATCTTTTTTTTTTTTTTTTTTGAGTTGGAGTCTCACTCCATGGCCCAGGCTGGAGTGCAGTGGCATGCTCACGCCCACCCCAGTGTTGACCTGCTGGACTCAGGCGATCCTTCCGCCTCGGCCTTCCAAATAGCTGGAACTACAGGTGCACGCTACCACGCCCAGCTAAGTTTTTGATTCATTGTAGAAACGAGGTCTCACCAAGTGGACTGGGCTGTCTCGAACCCTCTGGTTCAGGCAATCCACTGCCTCGGCCTCCCAAAGTGCTGGGATTGCAGGCTGAGCCACCAAGCCTGGCCTGAACTTTTTAAAATTTTTTTCGAGTTGGAGTTGGAGTTTCACTCCGTGGCCCAGGCTGGAGTGCAGTGGCACGCTCACTGCCACCCCAGCGTTGACCTGCTGGGCTTCCGCGATCCTTCTGCCTCAGCCTTCCGAGTAGCCAGAATTACAGGCATGCACTACCACGCCCGGCTGATTTTTTGATTTATTGTAGAGATGAGGTCTCGCTGCCCAGGCGGGTCTCGAACCCGCGGGCTCAGGCAATCCACTCACCTCAGCCTCCCAAAGGCGCGGAATTACAGGCTGAGCCACCGAGCCGGGCTGCCTTACCCTTTCTGAGGAGGTTTTGCATACCCCCTCTACGACCACACCCCTATTGACTGAGAACACACCTCATGACCCAAAGTTACCTTGAATTCAGTCCATGCTTTGAAATTATCATTTGTGATTACAATCGCATCAAGGAGCACCTGGAAATCGTAGCTGAGGCATGGATAAGACACCCTGGGGTTCATTCTGCAGATTGCTGGGGGGAGCAAGTTGATTCTTGGACCCTCCGCCCCCAAGCTGGTACGAACGCCTGACCTGCACACCACAGCTCTGACCCGCTGTGAGTGTCTCACGGCCAGGCGCCCGGTGGTGCTCTGCAGGGGAACCACGTGGACATACACCTCCAAAGTCCCACTTCCTATCAGTAGGGGAGGACACCACGCCTGGGGTGACCAGAATGACAAAGGACTCCTGACAGCCTTCGAGGTTTCACAGCACCTCTGTGCAGGTCCTGTGGTATGATCCTCTCAGCGGTGCCGCATGGACAGCAGGATGAGCGCCATGCTGTTTGACATTCTGTGAATGCCTTTGAACCACACACTTAACATGCAAGCCACATGCCACTCACCCAGGACCCTCGGCCCCCAAGCTGGCCCGTATCAGAGGGAATCAAGATAACCAAGGATATCAGAACTGGTTCCCTCAACCTTTGGAGATGAGAGAGGCCACACTGCGTGCCAGGCTGGAATTCGGAGTCCAGGCCAACCCAGGATCTGTGGCTGCCCTGGCTGTCGAGGGGTCTCGCTCCCCTCCCCCAGCCTCTTCCCTCCCAGCCCGGAGAAGTCTGGAGTGCCAAGGACCTGCCGGCTCTCGGAAGTAAGGGATGGGGAAAGGAGACAGTGGGTTGCCATGGTGATGGCAGCCAACCAGAGGTCCTCTGCTGCTAGGGAGAAGCAGGAGCTGGGTCTGTGTCCCCCTAACTGACCGTGAAGGAGGAGAGGGTTGGGACACAGGGTGGGGGCCAGGGGGACAGACAGGACATCACTCCCTGAGAGCAGAGACCAGGGTAGGAGAGAAGGGTCATGGGGAGGGCTGCTCCATTGCTAGAATTATCTAGCTACTACTAGAGTCCTAGGCTGGGATGGGCTATACACACACACACACACACACACACACACACACACACACAAACACAACCAGTAAATCTCACAACTGCCCTGTGAGTAAGAGACACCCACCTCATTTACAAAAGAAACAGACACAGGCAGAAAAGGTAGCCTGACAACAGCCTAGCTGTTAAGTGGTAAGGCCTAGTTTTGAGCTTTCCGGGGCGAAGGGATAATATTGGTAAGAGCACCTCCAGAGCGAGGCAAGCTGGGCAGAGCCACTGCCCCGAACATTTACTGGGTGGGAGAGTCCCTGGGGCTTCCTGGAGGTGGCAGAAAGCAATACAGTGACGAAACAAGGAAAGAAACTCAGTTATTGCAGGAAAATGTGTCAAGCATCAAGTCCAGAGGACAAAGGGTGAGGAGAGACCCAAACCCGGAAAGAAATCAGCAAGGTCAAAGCTTGGGGGTTCAGAGGGTTAGGACTGCCACTGGGAACAGATGGGGAGAAGGTTGGGTGGGCACTTTTCCTCACACCTTGGCATGCAAAGCCCTGGTGAGCCTCGATGAGGAAGGTGGGCGGCTGAAGGCTGTCCCTGGACCTGTGGAGTCAGCTTGGGGCTGAGCCAGTTTCTTGTGAGCAATCCACAGAAACGCAGCAACTGGATATCAGTCAAGGGCACAGGGCCCACGATATGCAGATCTTCACCTCTGCAGACGCCACTTCTCACAGCTCAGGTCACACTGGAGCAATGACATGGGGATGGACGTGCATGGCCATTTGTTGAGTCACCAAATGCTGCTTGGCTGCACTGTGGGGTGGGGACCGGATTCGTTTCTCTCCACCCAGGAATTCAAGGGCAGTCACTGTTCAACACTCGATTCACCATATCATAACTCACACAGCCCCTCAGGCATCAAGGAGTGTGTCCCATCCCCGGTGGGGTCCCTGCCCTTTGCAGAGGGAGTTCTACTGTAGGATCAGCCGGGTTGTCATCCTGGGGACCCTCAGGGAACCCCTGACCTCTCTCCAGCCCTCGGGAAATGTGGTCCTAGCCTACATGGGAATTCAGACTATCTGATCAATACCTGTGTGCCTGTTTGGCGCACAACAATGTGGTTTGTAAAAACTATTTAGCATACATGGGTGTTTATTTTCTCCCTTTATTTTAGGAAGCTAAAGTTTGGAGGATTTTCTGCTGCAGAATTTGTTGAATTGGACATTATCAGATATTTACCTGACACAAGTAAAAACGTGTGTGAGCTATGCCATTTTCTCAAAATGGGAACATTGTTATTTCACTCGAAGCATGGCTGTCCCGATTTACTTGCTCTGGTGACACCAGCAGATTATTTCTTCCAACGAACTGAAACACAAATCCACTCAGCAGCCAATTCAAATTCAAGCAACACCGGGTTGCCAGAGCTGTTCGTTTACACCAACAGTTAGATTTGTAAACTAAATTGTAATGGCAGTTAATATTTATAACCACAACACATGATGTTTATAAAATGAACTAAAACCTATAAATCACTCAGAACTGTGCCCGGCACAAAATATGAGCTCAGTATATGTTAGCTAGTATTATGGTGTTGTTAAATACAAAAGCAGACTTCCTGTGAGTCTTAGTAACAAAAGCCCATTTCAAGCTAGTTTAAAAAAAAAAAAAGGAGAGATAATTTATGTTAAAATTTAACAGTAGGAATTTTTTTTTTTTGAGTTGGAATCTCACTCCATCACCCAGGCTGGAGTGCAATGGCATGCTTATGGCCACCCCAGTATCAATCTGCTGGGCTCTGGCGATCCTTCTGCCTCAGCCTTCCAAGGAGCTGGAACTATAGGAGCACTACCACATCTGGCTAATTTCAAGTTGTCCGGGCTAGTCTCGAACCCTTGGGCTCAGGCCCCCTCACCTCGGCCTCCCAAAGCGTTGGGATTACAGGCTTGAGCCACTGCGCCTGGCCAACAGTAGGAATTTTTTAAACATCCAATTTGATTAGAAAATGGGCAAAAGACATGAAGAGATGCTTGCCAATGAGGATATACGGACAGCATGGCAAAATACTCCA